GTATGTACGCTTGCAAGTTGAGGCGGAACGCAGCTCAGCGCTAGATTGCTGAGCACTGACGTGTATCTTTGCCGTCGCCAGCCATTCATAGCTTACTAAGCAGCAACTCTGTTCTCAGCGTTTGGCGTTTGTGCGAAAGTGCAATTCCACTCAAGCGCCGATGAAGTAGCTCGCGCTTCTCGCAGATCGTTGGCGCAGTCTCGAGTAGTCTGGCTGGCAAAGAAGTGATTCGCATTTACCTGTTGCACAGTGAAAAGAAAGTTCCTAAGAAAGTATAACGTCTGTATGCGAAACGAGCACCTACCAGTAGTTTGTCTTCTTGCCAACTAAACGGACGCTTTAGCGCATGCGCGGTGCTAACTTCTACGTTTTCATATCCTACCTAGTAGCTATTACTTCTTGTGCATTTTAATTCGTGGTCGCTGGTTTGCTTGCGTGTTTTGCATATACATACCTGTGATTTTGGTGCCACAGACGTAAGGCATAGTTACAAATATACATACATACATACATTCATATTACGTGTTAACGCTGGTAGTTGTTGCGCGCAGTCGCGTTCGGTCGACAAAAGTCAGTCGCGTGTAGCAAGTTCGGAACGTGATAGACTTTGTTTTTTGCGTGCATATTGTGAAAGTTACTCTCAACATTGTCGCTAATTGGCAGCTGCAACACAACTATGTTGCTGCTACGAAAGGCCGTTTTAATGCTGGTGCTGCTTTGCGTGCACGTATCCTTTACCCAGTCGTCGAGCCAACAGCAAGATGATGCGAATCCGCTGCTCGATATGGCCTCCATGTTCATACAAGAGGCGTTGAACAACCAAGCGGGCAATGGTGGTGCCAGCGCGGCTGGCGGGGCAGGCGGCGGCGCTGGCCTCGCTGGTGTCGCCTCTCTCATAGGTAGCTTTATGCAGGCCAACGCTGGCGGCGGTGGCTCTGCCGGGCAAGGTAAGGCGGCCGCATCCGGTGCCATGCAAATCTTATCCGGCATCGGCAGTTTGCTTGCCAATGCGGGCCAAAATGGTGGACGTGCTGGCGGTAGCGCTGGTGGTTTCGATCCGGCCATCATCGGCAATGTGCTCGAAATGTTTACCAACAGCGATGCAGACTCGGAAGATGCGGGCGCTGGTGCGCGTAGTAATGGCGGAAATGATGCTGGCATCGGCTTGGACTCGATACTACAAATTGCCTCTGTGTTTATGAACGCCAACACGGGCGGTGGAGGTCAGCAGCAGCAGCAGCAGCAGCGACAAGCTCATCATCAGCAAAGACGCTCAGCCAACGATGATCTAAATATGCGTCAGAACGAAGTTGACGCAGATTCCGAGGATAACGGCGGTTTGATGAGTCTCTTGCCCTTGGTCATGCAGGCGGTTAGCTCGTTTGCAGGCCCAGAGGGACAGCAAACACAAGAGAGGCACAAAGGTCACGCCTGGGTGTTGCCACCGTTCTTGGAACATTTGCATGTTGTGTGGGATCACTTCTCCAACTCGGAACTCGCCGATGCGCTCTACGAAAAGTCAGGCGTGAACAAAATCTTAAAGGTAGTTGCCCTTAAAACCCGATTGCTTGCTTGCTTTAGTAATCGACTTGCGTACTTATTTTATATTTATGTGCTCTAGGGTTTCAAGGGCCGCGATGGTAAATTAGACTATGACAAGCTTTTCGATTCGCTGAACAATCAGTCATTCCGCAGACGTTGGATCAAGTCGGCGACGCTCTACCTAGCCGACTGGGCCAGCTATTTGGCAAATCCGGAAGTCTATCTCAAGTAAGTTTAAGGAAAGCAGTGCTACATATACTAAATATAATGGTAGTACAAACGAAACCAGTTAACTCAATTGTACTTGTCACTTCAAACTACAAGTGTATCGTGCAGAAACTACAGTTAGTCCAGCTGATTATTAAACACGCAAAAAACTTTATTTCTCATATGTGCTTGAGTTTGAGCACCCTTTCATCAGTGTCACACAAATAACTCATTCTCCTAAAGCCAAAAAGAAAACAAACAACACCAATTCCTTCATATTTAAACTCACTCATAATCATCTTTCTTTACATAGTTCTCACTTTGGCATTTAAGAATTTTTTCCATACCGGTTTTTTGATTTTATTTTGATTTACTTTCGTCTCCCTGATTTTGTCGCTTACTCATACAACCTCAAAATGTTGCTGTTACCAAAGTGTTGACCCACTTTTCGGCATGTTTTTCTTGCCTGCTAGAACCGGTGTGTTAGCGGCACGATCCGCCTCGCATTTATGGCATCGCGGCTCAACCAGAAGGCGTTTTCAAAAGCATCAGCCCAGTGCCTTACTTTGTCACTGCGCACACTTAAACCTGGGCTTTGGCATTAGCTTTGATTGCGTCGCGCAAAATTTTTCTTCAATTCAATTTCAGGTGTTACAGTTATTCAGTTAGCGTCATGTTCTTCTTACAATGTTAATTATAATTGTAAATAGAGAAAATAAATATTTTATTCTTGTCACGATTCGTTTAGTGAGGTGCCCTATTTGGCTCAAATTAATTGCTAATTGAAATTGGGTTGAGCATAATGGGTTGTAGCGACGCGTTTTCGCAGAGTTTGTAAGGTCTCAACTCCAATATACATAGACACATGCCGAAGTTAACCATTCATTTTTTGCATATTAAGTTTAATTGTTTTAGTTGTAGGTATACTGAAAGCCTAATTTGTTAGTCTAAGGGAAAGCACTAACTCCACTCAATAGACATAGCGCAATATCGCGCTCGACCCTATTAAGCTGGCATTTCAGGGTACTATTTTATATATATGTATATAAGGAAAATTTGAAAGTTAGGGGCGGGGGGGGGGCTCGAGCACCCACTGCCCCAACCTGGCTACGCCCATGAGCTCTTGTAACGTCTGCTGGGACTATTCTCAGGTGTCTTCAAAGTGCTTCGACTTGTCGATGAATCTACATACTTATTCTTTAAATGCAACATTAAATGATTTTGCAAAACGAATTCGCTTAGTGTCTCTTGTCTTTCAGATACCAGAGCTGGATATCTCCACAGATAATGAACGATACCGAAAATTGTACGCGAGGCCTATTTTGGCTGCAAGTTCTCCGAGGGCGTCAGTGTATCATGATTGTGTCTGTTAACCGGAGGACATCTTTTCTTGAGATATTCCGTTTTTGATTTGTCTTACAATTTCGCAGATTTGTAGGTTCTTCCAACGCGCTTTCTATTGCTATACTCAATATTCCAAAACCCTCTCGTTCCCTAACACTTCCGATTGGAAAATTCTGGCATTTAAGAATTATCAAAGAATGCGCCAAATAGTACAAAAGCCAATAGAATTATTCTCAACTAATCTGCCTTTATTACAATCTATAGAAGTGTTTCTTCAAATCCAGTATAGGAGTTATGTTGTCCGATTGATCCCTGATTCTAAATGGCTGTCACGAACACAACTAGGCCTATATTTCTTCGACCTCCAATAGCCTGACTCCTTGAGTCTGACATTAAGCGTGCGGGTCATCAAACAAAAAGTAAAGCAAGTTATAGCAAGAAATATCCTCATGAAACACAAAGTTGTGCGATAATTTAACCTGGCGTAAACTAGAGCAGCTCATTAAACTCAATTAATGTCTTTTTTTTTCGTTTTTTTTGGTGATTCCGATGGCTCGGATTGACGCTAAGAGCACTTTCCGAGGTCGACAAACAAAGCTCCCTTTAACATTTCGCTAATTGTTCAACGAAAAAGATACATGACACCAATGTTGCCATATTCACAGTTTTGACTGTAACTTACAGTTGTTTAGACAGTTACACTTACAGTGTTCTTCAATTATGTACTAGTATAATTTACAGTTTTGTTATAATTTCACATTTTAAAGAAGAAATTAAAATATGTCTTTTGATTTTTTTGGAAGTAGAAATGTAGCATATTTTCTTTTGAATAAAAAGAGGTACGATGTATTCCAATCATAGGGTTAGAAAAGCTTAACATTCGAAAAATACTTTCGTTTTTGAAGGTTACAGTTTTTTTTTGTTGGAAATACAGTGTTTTTTTTTAGAATTTAGCGATTGTTATATTGTTGAAATCTACCTCCATGCCATCCAGGCAGCAAGTGTAGTGCTTCGTAGAGGGCGCGTCGTTGAAACACCTCAGATGGCTTTCGCAATTTTAGTTTTTTTTTTTTTTATACCAAGCAACCAAAGCTTTCGTCCTGAGCTATAATTTTTTCACTGCCATGTGTAAGATACTTTTTTATGGACTAAAAATATTTCTAGAATATGCAATTTCATCTTAACGGATATAACGTATTAAATATTTGCGCTAAATTTCATGAGATTTTAAAAATCTTTACCAACACAGCTGAAAACGAAATTAACATATTTTTAAACGTAGCAGAGGTCATATAAGAGTCAAATTGTTTATGTTTCTTGTGTGTAAATACCGAGTGCATTGTTTGAAAAGGTGTATCTGATGACTAAGACTTTGACTATAGCAAATTTAAGACAGTAACGATAATGCAAACATGTACATTAGACCGTACCGGAAAAAATTTTCGTCGTAAGGGCCAAATTATTTTAGCAAAA